TCCTAGGAACTCGAAAGGATGCTAAAGGAAGACTGCGTGAGCGGTGGATGGCAACCTTACGGTAGTTGGGATACCGTTAGCATGTTAGCACCCCAATTAATACCGGAATATCTCTGGAACTATGCGTCCTTCAACAAGTCCTTATGCGACAATCTTCTAAAATACATTTTTTTGGAAGCCTCTGAAGCTTTCAGCCCATTTGGTGGAAAAATAAACAAGTTATTGCGCATTTGCACCAAATTAGACTGCCGCGCTAAAAAAAAATCCCTCAGAATACTTTTACTCAGACCAGTAAAAAAAAAATAAATGGACGATTTTTAATGTGAAACAGCGCTATATTTTACACAGTTCGGTCTGACTTGATCGATCATATCAACACGCTAGTAGTGATAGAACTCTGAAGATTCATATTTGTATTTTGTCTGGCTTGAGTGAACACTATCTTAAGGGATTATTTTCAACGCAGAAGTGTACTTTGCTACAAAAACGGTGGTGGTGACTTCTCATTACATACACACAAGTCTACACTTAAAAATTAACCAAGTTTAACATGTAGTAAATTTGTTCTGTTATGATAAATTGAGCTCAAATTTTGACTCAAAACTTGCTTTTCCATTGATCTTTGTCCGATCAGCTATGCACAAATTTTAATTTTATTATCACCTTCCAGCAGGTGCTTTAAAAAATTTGGTATTTCTTACACGTGAAATTCAACATATTTGTAGTTTTGCGTCAAAATTTCAGCTCAATTGATCATAACAGAACACATTTACAACGTGTTAAACTAGGCTAGTTTGTACACCAACAGTGTACGTAGGTACGAAATGCTGGATTAAGGTTAATGTAATAAATTTAGGAAAAAGTTGTGTCATATCTGTACTACGGATTTTTGCTAAGATTCTTGCTTCAGGAATTGTATTGAATACCTGTCAATCAACTAAACTTACTACGGCAGCAACTGAATTCTTCAGATGTGTTAGTGTTCACAGGATTGTTCATACCAGCCACCATGTCAGTACCGTGGACCCTCGGTGAAATTGAAAAAAAGCATATTAACGAGCAAATAAACCACAACTTGATTGTACATTTCGCTTACCAAAGCCGTTCGTTATGAATGGGCTATTTTTCAAGTTAATCCTTTAATCAACGAAAATTGCCGCTAGATAAACTTTATTGGTCATAGCCATCTGACACCTCTTCCCCATGTTCGATAAGAGTGTAGTAGCTAGGTCGCTTTCCACCGTTTTCAAAACGGAACAACACTTTTCCCACATCAAGAACACGAGTTGGTCTTCCAGTTGAGTTTGTTATTTCGATGTCGCATTGAGACGTCGCTTAGCGACGTCTCATTGAGAAAAGCGCATGAGCTTCGCCTCACGCGACGTCGCATGATACTCGTTCTCATGAAACGCATACATCCGGAAATGTGCTGTGCTTACAAAACAGTGCGACACACAGACATTATGAGAATGTGAGATGCGACAAAACTGAAGAGAGAGAAGCAGAGTGCTACAAATCTCTTGCGCATGCGACTGCTATGACTATGAGACTATTCGTATTGCGTCTCGCATACGGTAGCGCGCGCACTGGAAGCCTGCCATGACTCATTTGTCTCTCTTAATTAGTTGTTGTTTGTCTTGTGTTCCCGTCTCGATGAGTCTCATTGTCGTCCACTGGTCACCATAGCCGGTCGAGCTCCAGACGAATCTAGAACCTCACTATCCTTCTACAATGTACCCCTCTAACATGGGATAAGCCGCAAGTATTTGGCACAACTCCTATTAGACATAGAATTAAGTGAATTTTGTTACAAACAAAGAACAATTAATTATCGGCTCGGTAAAGCTAATACAATTGAGCCTTCCAAACAAACGAACTAGATAAAAAAAGAAATCATGCAAAGGTTGAGGTCAGTAAAAGCATGTTTGCTCGTTTGGTATTCGAATTTTTTCCCTTTATTTAACGTCGCTCTCTGTTCCGCAATCTAGTGCCAATCACCGACGGACATCGATTGCCATCCATTGACGACAATCGAATGTGCAGGAAGGCAGCTTCCACACCTGCGTAGGATATCGCACCCATTCGCAACACACACATGGGCCGGGACCAACGGAAGACGTGACCAGAGATTTTTATGCCTCAGAAAAATCCCACCGACCTCGGCTGGGATTGAACCCAGACCCATTGGGGTGTTAGAAAGCAGTCACGCTTACCACTACACCACCGGCGCCGGCTAGTATTCGATTTATCTATTTTGACTCAATATTTTTATGTTACAAGATTTCGAAAGATCGCAAATAATCGCAGCCAATTTTTTCGCAAAAATCATTCATACATAAATGTCACTAATGCTCAATAGTTGCCATCACAGAATATTACAGAATATGTTAGTTTTCTTACCATATTGGAATAATAATTGAAAAAAAAACATTGGAATGGACGAAATAGTTCGAATCGTAAACTTAGCTAAATCAACTGGTATAATTTGGAATATAGAGGTAACTCTAAGACCAGAAGATACCGAAGAAACGTACTCAACTTTTTAGCTCAACTCTGGTACTGTTTTCGGTCCCAAGCTAATTGATGCACCCCTCGCAACATAGGAAAATCCACGAATCCCTCGTTTTATCTGTCAAACTTTCAAAGCGAATCACAAAATAGTGTAGTATTAGAATTTAGATTAGAATGGGGTACGTTAATCGATTTGCTTGAGACGAATAGGCTAGTCAAGTAGTGAGCCAATTTAAAATCGTTAGTTTCCACCGGTTGGCATAACGGTACTACCGTATTAGATGCTAGATGAAAGCTTCTTTTATCGATATGTGTGCTGAAAATACCCGGGAATGTCTAAATTTCCATACAAACACCAAATGGTTTGTGCACAACCAGTTTCTCACTAAATAATTTAAAATTTGAGAGGCTGATTAGGACCCGATTTAGAACCGCATAAGCATTGTGGAGCAAAAAAGATTGCCACCGCTGACTAGCTTGGCATTTTATTTGCTGAATCTTAATCAAAAATTTGCCGATAACTTAGTGTCGTCATGCGGGACCGAAACCTTCTCTGCAGCGAAACAAACATTCAAGATTGAGCAAGGCCTTCTTGGCCACCAGTTTCTTTGTTCTGAATCGCCACTAATTTCATGAATAGTCAATCAACGAACTTTGAAACTTTATCAGAAGTGAAGTAGGGGTATTTCAAATAAATTCTAAAAGAGTCTGGACCAGTACATGTTGATCCCCGTGGACCGGCTACGGCTGATACTAAAGTCTGGAACGCCCAAAAATTGGTCAACTTCAAATTGGTGTATTTCTGTTAAAGATGCATAAAAAACCTGAAATGCTGCATTTGGAAGTTGAGAGTATATACAATGTTTGCTATGATGAGTTTTCACCGTTTGCTCTCCAGTTTTCAAAATGACGTCCAAGCAAGAGGAGCAGCGTGTCAAAATTTTGCTCGCGTAGCAAGAGAATCCGACGTTCTCACACGCCAAGTTAGCAAAATTACTGGATGTGGCCAAATCGACCGTGCCAAACGTTTTAAAAGTGTTCGGGGAGCGTCTGTCGACTGCCAGGAAGCCTGAAAGCGGCGGCAATCGTAATCCGGACGTGGCAGCGACGATGAAGAAGGTGACGGTGAAATATAAGCGGAATCCTAACCTCTCCATCCGGAACGTCGCTGGCAAGCTCAATGTCTCCCATACTACTGTACAGCGGGCCAAGAAACGAGCCGGGTTGTCAACGTTTAAGAAGGTGAAGGTGGCGAACCGAAATTACAAACAAAACACGTCGGCAAAGCAGAGGTCCCGAAAGCTGTATACGAATCTGCTCACAAAGTTCGACTGTGTCGTTATGGACGACGAAACTTATGTGAAGGCGGACTTCAAGCAGCTTCCGGGACAGGAGTTTTATACCGCATCAGGAAAAGGTAAGGTGGCTGAAATTTTCAAAACCATCAAACTATCGAAGTTCCCGAAAAAATATCTCGTCTGGCAGGCCATATGCACGTGTGGTCTAAAAAAAGGCATTTTAATTACTACGGGAACCATCAATCAAGAGATCTACGTCCAGGACTGCCTGGAAAAGCGGCTGCTACCATTCCTAAAGCAACATAATAGACCTGTTCTGGCCGGACTTGGCGAGCTGCCACTATGCACTATGGGAAAAAGGCAATCGAGTGGTACGATGCGAACAATTTGGTTGTGGTACCCAAAGACCACAACCCTCCCAACAGCCCAGAACTCCGCCCTATCGAACGGTATTGGGTCTTGGTCAAACGGAATCTCAAAAAAAAAAAAACTAATAAATCCATGGAAAACGAGCAGCTGTTTAAATCTAACTGGCGTTCGGCGGCGAATAAGGTCGATGAGACCACTGTGGAAAATTTAATGGAAGGGGCTAAGCGGAAGGCATGGCAGTTCGGATTTGGCGAAGAATAAACGAACATTTTTCCTTTAAATATATAAATTGAACTACCAAAAGAAAAATAAGAAGATTTTTGTGATATAAATTTTGACTGAAAGAAACGATTTTTTTGTCGACCAATTTTTGTGCGTTCCAGTATTTATCACGGAATTCAAAGGAAATAAACCAACACACTCAAAGCTCTTCAGTTATTTCGTTCAAAACCGAAATTACGTTCATGAAAATGAGTTCATTGCATTCTACTGTCTACCGGAACACAGTAAGCGCATTTTCATTGACAGAATTAGGGTTTTAAACGAAAAAAAAAATGCTTTTTAATTGCCAAAAATGAATGACGTCAATTTTTTTCTAAAACGTTTGCTGATGGGGAAAATTTAAAGAGCTGGAATAAAAAAAATCGGTTATTTTAACAAATGTTGTGTCAATGGTTAGCAAGATAGACTATTTATCTACCATTTACATGAACATTTGGAATAAATCGACGCTGAATTGAAGAAATATTTTCGGATAATTATCAGCCAACCAGCTGGGAAAAAGGGATATGTAATGAAACAAATTATGTATTGTGTTTTTAAAGTCCGCTAATTATATTCCAAAACTTGGTACACTGTACAGAAAAGAAAATTGTCATAGCCGTTTGTCACACTGTTCACTGGTGGTACTGAGGTATCTTATTCGTTCATCACCATCATTTACCAGGTGTTCCAGCCACGGTTAACAGCGGCGGCAGCAGGGGCTCCAGCAGCTGGCCAAGCACCGGCACCGGCTCCAACTCCGGCACGGTTCCACTGGTTCCATCCGGCATTGGCTCCATACTGGCGGTTCCATGGCTCAGCTCCCCATCGGTTCAAGCGTGGGTCAGCAGCAGCAGCAGCTGGGTTGTTCCATCGGTTCCAGCTGTTGCCTCCCCAAGCGGCATTCGGGTTGGCGGCCGGGTTAGCCCAGGCAGAGTTCCACTGGGTCTCCGATTGTTCCAAATGTTCAGACTTGTCCTAAGAAGGCAAAGGAAACGATGTCAGTATGCATGTGTACTACTTATCAGATGATTGGTAGCATTTGCAATTAGTACCTTGTCAGCGGGCATGCAGCAGGCAGCCACAATCAGAGTAGAGATGAGTACCTGGAAGTACAAGTTGTGGGGATTTGCGGTTTTTAGAATCATATTAAACACAATGACAACGATGACGAACACACCACGACGGTAATAATCATTGGATATTAATCTACTATAGAAGCTCTCAAAATATGATTAACGAACACTAATGGAAACAACTAGATAAATTGTTCATGTCACACAGTTGTGACAAAGTGTGTATCCAAATAAAATGATCTTTTGTCCATTCCTTGGAGGAAAGAGATATTTATGAATATTACGCAGATGTTGGCTAACACAGATTCAGAGCGTTTGAAACATACCCATAAAGGTCGACTATTACAAACGTTCACAATGTAGGAATATAGTTATAAATTCAAAATATTGACGATTTTTCTGGTGAACTTGGTCATAATTTTAAGTTGCTCAAGTATCTTGAAGCTTAAAAAGGTTGTAAATAAATTTACTGATTTGTCTTTTATATTATGATAAAATAAGTTCTTAATTCAACTTCTATGTAATTTACTTCTAATTCTTCCAAATCACAAGAAAGTGGGTATGATACACTTCGATTGAAATGAAATTTATGAATTTTGCTATAATTCATCCTTCTCTTCTAGGTTCAATTGAGGGTGGGAGTTCGCCACTTAGTTATCGTTATCACTTTCTCTCTCCGCTCTTCTTATCACTTTACCAGCTTGAACATCTTGATGTGTAGTTTCGATTGAATCCTTTCGGAAGCACTTGTTTGTGTTACTTGTTAGCTGTTGAGATTGCAATTCGATACTGGATGAAAATTAAGCTAATTGGTAGGCTTTATATAGTGATTGTGACTGCATTTCGCCCTCACACTGCAGCAAAGCTAGTGGCGGCGTGGATTAGTAGCATTTGCCAGTGATGGCTTTTTGAACGGCATCCGCAATAGTCTCGTCGGTGGTGATATTTCAGCTAATGGTACCTGAGGACCGCAATAGGTTACCGAGCGTGCAGGAGGAGTTTCTAAACTAATAAGCGCGTAAACGTACAGTACCGACAAGGGCGGGAGATGCCAGCTTAAAATTAAATATGAGTCGTTCAGACAGCGAGGGTGGCGTTCTTAGAACAAATTCTAAATTCTAAGTAAACTGACAAATGCTCAATCGATGTAAGGTTCCTCACTGTCATCTTCTAGGTAGGACCACATTCCCATTGAGGCATCGATTCAAGCACTTTGCTGCTAGTGCTAGTTCCTAGACGGTGTCACCCATCTCCATTATTAATGGAACGTAATTTGCGATAATATTTTATTTATTTTATTAGTGCAGAAATAAATCGATTCCGAATGTATCTTCTGCTCCCATGCGGCGGCAATTAATCATGTACATTTCATACCCGACTCCCTGGGCAAGCGATTCCAAGGAGTTCGGCGCACATCGCATGTGTTGAGTACTAATGGTTCACACGAGGGAGCCCGGCAAGAAGAAGAAGAAGCGTGAGCATACTGATCCATGCGATGTCAAATTTATTATGATGGAGTCACTCTCACTGCGGGGCTCAACGATTGCAATGATTGATGTTGGGGGCAGAACTTATAGGCTACCATTATCTCACATATAGCTTATTATCGCTGCGCCTGGATGGATGCACCTTGCACTTGAAATTGCTCTATCTAATCTAGCATATTGAGTGATTATTATAAGAGGGACCTATTTGAATGAAAATTGTTTATATTGAACACTGGAATAAGAATTAATTGCTCCTAATTGTATGTTGATTTAACAAATCCCAAAAAAAAATATTGATAGGTTTAAACAAATATTTTGGACGTGTATGTATTTTGGACTCGTTGCACATATTTTGACCAAATATTAAATATTGGAAATATGGATACTCAGTCTAATTATTCAGAGCGTCTAGCACATCTCTGGTTTTCAAAGTTATATGATTTTGTGGTACAAAATATTCCATAATTATTGAAAATTAAATAAGTCAAAAGAAAATAAAGTTATTCGCAGATGAATTTCATCAAAGAACAAGAGAAACAGTGGAAAATCGACCTAATAGCATTTGGCTATAAGCAGGGATGGTAGCGATCACTGCTGTGAGAAATAGTCATTTTAGTGACCATGTTGAATAAATAAGTGACCAAATAGTGAATGATAGTTGTAAAAGTAGTGACTAAAAAGTGACCTAAGAGAAGAAAACGCTAAATAAATGTTTGATGTTTTAGACTAATTCAATTATTATCTCATAAACAGTTATGTACGATATAAACCTTTAAAGCGAAAGATACAATAGAAAGTTTATAATCAAAACGGAAATCTACAGAAAAAATTTTGTTACCTTAAACTACCTGGAAGTCTCAAGAAATTAAAAAAATGTTACTAAGGATATTTTAAAGAAAATAATGAATTTTAAAATACAACCATTTAATATTTCTCGTTATTCGTCATTCACACTTTGAACTTTAAAGATTCACAATGCATTAATCTTTAGTAACAAATAAAATTAAAAAATAATAATTTTTGGTTTTGGAACATGCATATTTCATTTAAAAAAAATAATTTGAACTAGTTCTGGACATAATAGCTATAATACTTCAAGAAATTTCCAAAATCTGCATTTAAATTCCATTAACAGTTTAAAATACTCGAGGAATTTTATTATAATATCTAAGGACCTCATTCCAAGGGAGCTCTGGAAAAAAAATCATTCAGAATAATATCAAATTCAATCGGCTTTCGAGGTAGTTTTGAGGAATTTAAGATTTCATATAAAGCCTTAGTTTTGAGTAGAATTACTAGAAATCTTAGGAATTTCTGAGAAGTACAACTCTTGTGTACTTCACCGGAGAATTTCAAGGGCATTCTGAGGATAATTTCATAAAGTTTGTGGAAAAAATGAATACGGAGCACATGTCCTTGGATTTTTTTCGAAAATACTAAAAGGATGATTACAATTAAATGTGAGAATAACTCCAGAACATCTTCAAAAGAATTCGGAAAATAAATTTACAAGAGTTTGCCAAACAAATTATGAGAAGAAATCTAAGGAATTTCTGAGGAGAAATGCCAATGAATTGTTAGGAGACTTTCAATGCAAGTAGAATTCCAAGGGAAGGAGTGAGATTCAAAAAGGAATCTGGAATGAATTCAATGAATACTCGGAGAGGGATTTCTAATTGTGGAGAATTTCAAAGTAATTTCGAGGAAAATAAAAAATAAAATTTAATTCTGAAGATAGCTTCATTGAGATTTTGAGGAAATCTCTGTTAAATATGGAATGAACTATTTTGAGGTGTTCAGAATCACTTGAAAATTCTCAAATTTTTCCTGAAGTTAATGAAACTGCCTTGAAGTTCTTTTGTAGTTTGATGAACTAGCCTGATGCTCACAATACTTCTCCTCAAATTCTGAACTTTATAAGACTTCCTAAGGTTTCCTCAATTTTTCTAACGATCATAGATCTTCTTTAAAGGTTCAACAATTCACTGAAGTTCTCTAAACTTCTTTAAAATTTATGTGACTTCTCTAATGTTGACGGAACTGCTCTGAGGTCCTCTGTTCTTTTCTGAAATTCTCAAAACTTCTCTAAAGTTTTTGCAGTTCTCATGAAGCTTGTTGTACTGCGCTGAATTTAATTAAATCGTCCTAAAAATGTTTCAGTGAACTTCTAAACGTATGCGACGACCTCAAATATTTTTTTAACGTCTCTGAAGTTATCTGAAAATCTGGGAACTGCTTTAAATACCCCACTAATTTTCTTAAACTAATGGAACTGACTTCCCCCTCAAATTTTCGGAGCTTACTAAACTTTTTTCAAATGCTTCCGCATTTTGCTAATGTTCATAAAATTTCCTGAAGTTTGCGGATCTCATCTCAAGCTCCATAGATTTCTATAAACTAATGTTTCTGAAGACCACTGTCCTTCTGTGAAGTTTCCGAAGTTTTCTAAATTTATAAATTTCTGGAATTTAATGGGATTATTCTGAAGCTATCTGATCGTCCTCAAAGTCTTGGAACTTCGCGGAATATCATAAAACTATCTAAAAATATCTAAATTTAGTTGTCTGGAATTTCGTGAAGATATCGCTGCTTGCTAAAAGTTCTCACTTTTTTTTTATTAATGGAACTTCGATGATGTTTTTTAATCAATTTAGCTAAATTTTCACGTTTTCCGGATGTCCATATAATTTTGATTACGTTCCAGATATTCTCTCGGAGCTTTGCGGAAGTTTCCGGGAATTCTTTGAGTTTCTCGAAACTTCTTTAAGGTTTCTACAATTTCCTTGAAGTTATTTGAACAGCCCTTTGATTACCTGATCTGTCTAGATGTTCTCGAAGCTCCCCTAAAGCTCTCAATTCTATTGAAGATCTCGGTTCTGCTTGGAAATAAATGGAATTCCCGTTAACCCCCTTAAACTTCCCTGAAATTATCTGTACTTTTGTGAAGTTTCTGGAATATTTCTGAGGTTTTCATAAATTCTCTGAAGATCTCTGTACTTCCCTGAAATCCGCGGAACATATTAAGGGTTCTCGACATATTCAGCACATCATGAAACTATCTTGAATTTATCTAAATTTACGATTATAGATTTAAAACTGCTCCAAAAGTCTAGACTATAGTTACGGGAACTGCTCTTAAGCTCTGAAATTCCCCAAAGATTACTAGATCCAGCTTTTCTGAGGTGCCTAGAACTTCTTAAAAATTTGCACAATACCCCTCAAGTTTTCTTAAATTTCTCAAGTTCGTTTGATACCTGTGAAGTTCTCTGAAATTTTAGGAACTTCATAAAAGTTCCTGAAAAGTTTCGGATGCAAAAAGAACCGCTTTGAGGTTCTTACAGCTTCCAGTAAGTTTCCCATATTGTCAGCGTGGTAACTTCCCTTATGTTCCTGCAGTTTGTTTAAAGGGCTTCACTGAAATTCTCAGCATTTCCTTCTCCAAAGTTCCTACAATTTTTATAAAGTTGATGGGACTACAATGATGATCTCTATTTTTTCATAAAGTTAATTACGAACTTGAAATAAATCATTTATTTTTTTACTTAATTCTAGCACTTTGCATATTTTCAATATCTTGTACATGGAATAAGAAACTTCAAGACATTGAATATTTTAAGATCTTGGACTTACTTACTTGGAAAACTCAGGTAATGTTATCTAGAAAAATGAGTAGACATCCTGTACATAGAGAGAGACGATTAAACGTCACAACGAAAAGAATAATCAATCTTGAAATAAATTCACTCTAAAAAAGTTGAAAATAGTGACTTATTACAAGAAAAAGTGACTTTAGTGACTTGGCCTTAAAAAAGAGACTTTTTAGTGACTGACTTGAAAAAAGTGACCAAGTCACTAAAAAGTGACTCGCTACCAGCCCTGCTATAAGTGTTGATTAAAAACAAAAGAAATAGTATCTCAATTTCCTCATGAATATAAAATTCATGTTAATGGCGATTTCAACCAATGCAATGCTGATTTCTTTCCTGATTCAGAAAATGAGAGTATTCTGCTCCAAGTTGGATTTTTTTTTATTAACAAATACGCATGAAGATTTCTGTGTAAGTGAATCTGTTTCTCCATTATGGAAAAACGAAGAGTTTTATACCCTGGACAGACTATGGCTTATATCATGTAATATAGGCTGTCTTGCAATGAGCACTCATACATCTAGTTTTCACTGGAAATCCTATGTATGAGTGCTCATTGCAAGACAGCCTATATTACATGATATAAGCCATAGTCTGTCCAGGGTATTACACAGCAATTGAGTAATATATTCTTTATGCACCCATCCCAC